CTCCCATCTCCTTGCTGGAATTTTTAACCAGCATGATCTTGTACAGATCTTGTGCAGAAAACCCCAGCTGCTTTAAGTTCATGAGATGTGTACATCAGCCATGTCATGTCCAGACTACAGTATTTCAGTGCTCTCCTAGCCATCCTTCAGCTCTGATATTCTTTCTGCTTCCTCATTTGTGATGTTTTCTTAACCACGTGTTTGTTTGAAACATTGATAAAAATATCCCACCTTTGTCTGCTGACTCTTAACTGATTGTTCTCAGCACTTTAAACAGCAACATGCCCCTGCATTGACCACTATCCACAATATTAACAAGTTTCTTTGACCAAAATATACTGCAAATATATGGAAATCAGTTTGATAACATGAATGTTTAGAAAAAAAATGTTTTTTTCTTTGAATGTATGACATCCCTAGTCATGAATTTGGCCATGTTGACAGTACCAGACATAAATTCCCTGCTGTAGAGAAGGCCTCAAATTCAATCAAGAAAGCACTTGATTTCTTACTCCTGTAAAAATTCTTGTCCTCTTATTCCATCACTGGGGTCTTCTTGTCTAACAGGTTGATATTGTAGCAAACAGGGTGCAACATTGGATACGACTATTAATGTCTTCTTTCCTCCAGCATTATTATGCTTTTCAGGTACTCTTAATTTTTAACTTGATGTTCTTAGGATGGTTAATCTCTATTATTAGCCTACGAGATATGTAAAGCACACCACTGGTTATTTCCCAGAGAATGTGTCCAGAGAAATTTTTTTACTAACAACAATACCAATCCTAAATATAGACAGAAGCAAACAACAGGTCCTAGGGACATGAATGATAAAGGAGTCAGTGCATCATCTCTCTGTTTCCTGTCTGCTTGATGTGAACTGTTCTATTTGCCCATACTCTCCTCATCATAATGGACTAACACCTCTGAAACAGTGGGAAAAGGAGACTTGACTTCACCAGTTGTTTCCATTAGATATTTAGTTATAGTAACAAGACAGTATTTTAAACAGTCCTTTTTTCATCTCTATGCTCCAATCTAGGTCCCACATTACATTTACTTCTAACTCTCTTTCAATTTACTAGTCTGTGATAGTTTATTATACTAAAATAACTGATAGTCAGTTATACTAATGAACCCATAGTTTTGAGAAGTGCTAATGATGTAGTTCTGCAACTGCTATATCTCTGCTGCTTTATTCAAGGTTGCACAGTACTGTTTGGCAGGAAGGTCACAGAGATCTAGTACCATTCGCATTTCAGAGTACAGTCTATCAGCTTGACTGGTTGTTGTTGTCATAACTTTAATCAGTAACCAAGGCAGTGTTTTGCTAAATTTATCTCATGTAAAGGTCCCCTTTTCCCTTTCTACTTTATAAGATGCAAAGCACACAGTGAAGCAGTAAAGTTCTGTTCCATTTATTTGAGGAAAGATTGTCTGCATTCAGAGTTAAAATTCTTCTGTCTGAGTATTAACTTATTCTGACTAACTTTAGATACCAGTGCATAGACATTTAGCTTGTTTAGCTACTTTGCTGATAACATATATCAGTTCTGAGCAGTAAGAGCTCTTCCTATTGATGCTTGTGTTTTTCTGACAGACCGTGTGTGTGTGTGTGTGTGTGTGTGTGTGTGTGTGTGTGTGCATTAAGAAATTCTTTCTTTTCTGTTAGAAGATATTTTATTTGAGACACATATTGTATATTTTATACCCACTTCTCAAAGGATTTCTAAAAGCTTTACTGGAGACAAAGTATTAGAAACACAATCTGTATGTTAAATGTCCATGCTGTAACTGAGCTGGCATTGCTTCTAAGTCCCCTTACTTGACAGTATATTAAAGATGTAAGTAAATATTAATAAATGTAGAAGTACATAGCTACTAAGATTTAGGCATGCAACCATATATATCTATATTAAAGTGAAACATGAGTTCAGACTGAGATATCTAACTTTAATTCACCAACTCAGGGATATTTCTAGATTATTACCAGTGATAAAACTGACATTCACAATGCCATATATTTACATAATTGTTTAACTCTTATTCACTTTTATAGCAGTATCAGAATCATTAACAGTACTCCTGTGGGAAAACATGTTATTAACTGAAGTACTACCCTTATGTACAATTTGTATTGCTGTTAGTTTAACAGATTCCTCTTCTTTTTACTTAGGTTAGCACTTTCTACTTCAAATTCTTTAATGATTTCATACATTTTTAATATAGCTAGCTTGGTTTATTACAGTCAGAATTCTACCATGAACAACTAAAGAATCCAAATAACAGAGAAATATACTGTGTGTGTGTGTGTGTGTGTGTGTGTGTGTGTGTGTGTGTGTGTGTATGGGGTAGAGTTAAAGATTACCTGACTTTGAAACATATCAAAACACCTAAACTCCTAAGTCTTACAACAAAGTAGTGCTAAGCAAAAATATAGAACAATGGAACAAAATAGGAAGACCAAAAATAAATTCATTTCTTTAATATAGACTTCATTTCAAAAAAGACAGCAAGAACACACAACATGGAAAGTATAATCTCTATAGTTAGTGATACTTAGCAAGCTGTGTGTCTATATGTAAAATAAAATTTGGCTCATCTCTCATAAAACACACACACACACACACACACACACACACATACACACACACAACTTTCAAAACATACTAAAAACTTAAATGTACAGTCTGGAAATATAAAAATATAAGATAATATAATAGAAATGTTTACACTAGGCTGTGAATTAAGTTCTGCATGTAAGTCCAAAGCATAGGCAACAACAAAGTAAACAAAGGGCATTATTTCAAATTAAAAAAAAATTCTGTAATTCTCTGGAGCAAAGAAAAAACCAACAGAGTGAAGAGAAGATCTACAGAATAGGAAAAACTATTATCTATACTTTTTGTAAGGGATTAGCTATTCAAAATATATCACAGTGAATTAAAACAACTCAATGCTAAGAAAACATGCTCATTATTTAAATAAAAATGTAAATGACAAGTATAGACAACTCTTAAAAAATAAATACAAATGGACAAAAAATGTCCAATTATTGTTGTCATCAGGAGAATGTACACTGAGGGATTATCTCACAACTGTTAGAGAATATATTCACATAAAGATGATAGTTGTTGACAAAAATGTGGAAGAAAAGAAACTCTAGTACTGTGTAGTTTGGAATGAAAACCTATATATTCATTATGAAAAGAATACAAGTATGTCTCTGTAGCATGAATCTTAAAAGTTCTTATTAATAAAATCAAACCCAGATCCAGGTATTGGGATAAATGCTAAAAGATCAGTGAGACAGAACAAGCCCAGCCACCTCACCTTGCCAATTCCTCAGCTGATACTGTTTCCTCAGGCTGGAAGCCTTTGAGTCCTCATCCAGAAATGAATCTCAACTGAACTGCTTCTTGAAAGACTAAAAGCTTAACCAGCCTATTGTTCCTCGTCCTCACGCCTTAAATACCTTTCTGCCTCCTGCCATTGCTTCCAGGGATTAAAGGCATGAGTCACCATGCTTGGCTATATCCTTGAACACACAGAGATCCAGGCAGATCTCTGCCTCTGGAGTGCTAGGATTAAAGGCGTGTGCTACCACCGCCTAACCTCTATGTTTAATATTGTGGCTGTTCTGTTCTCTGACCCCAAATAAGTTTATTAGAGTGCACAATATTTCAGGGAACACAATAACACCACAATGTCTCAGAAAACTTAGAAATGTGTTGAATAGATAATTGTATTCTCACAGTCATTATAACTTCATGAACAAAAATGAAGTCCTAAAATCAAGCAATTAGTGAATACACAAAATGTATCAAAACTATCAAAATTATCAATTAAATGATAATTTTCTTTAAGCATAGCAAGTTTGTGGTATCCTTTATTTTATCTGGCTCTCTTATATTGGTGCTACAATAAAAGAAGTGAATTCTTTTCTCAGATAAGAACTGCTTTCTGTATCTGAAATTTCCAATGAAAACCGTAATAAGAGTAAATCTGAAGAAAAGACAGCACAGTTCCTTAGGACTTTTATGTTCAGGTAAATATTTCAATGTTGTCATACAAAAGAGCTATTTTTAATTGTGAAGAAGTGGTGTTTCTAGGCCTCCAAGTATTCTACATGGCTCATCATATTCTAGTATGCTCAGCTGTGAACCACAGTGGCATTCATCATGTGACCCTCAGGAATGTTCATCCTATTTTCCCAGTTTTGTTGCATCGTTTTTTTTTTTTTTTTTTTCTGTCCTGATTGATATTTTTACATAAGAAACAGCACATCATTGTAAACTTCTCCACCATGACAGAAAACAAAACCAAAACCAAAAATGCTCTATCAAGTTTGGGTCCGGTTAATTCTGATGAATGATCTTTTCATTTATTTGCAAGTTTATTTTATAATAAAATTCATTTAAAAAGCATTTAAGAAAATTTAAAGTTTGGGAAAAACAGGATGTATATTATGAGAAGTGTGTTTCCAAAAAAAGCACAAAGTCAAAAAGTAACTTGGATGGCATTCTGAAATTTATTATTTAAATGGGCTTAGCTATTATGGCCCACACAAGAACACTTGTTTGATTTTTCACACAGTTGGCTAACAACAGTTGTTGAGTCATTTCGGGCAGCCATTTCCCATAATGTCTCTTCATTTCTTAGGCAGCAAAAGTGTATTCAGGTTTACACCTGACATTATATCCCAGTCACTAGGTTGTAAACCTAATTCTATGAGCTTCTAGGAACATGCCTCATTGTACTTGAAGACCTATGAAAAGATAATTTCACACATTTTTCTTTATTATTTGGCTGGTTCCAAAGTAATTATTTACCTGTGCACATAATTTTAATTTTCACAGCAGCTTTAAGCCATTGAAACTTTATCTCCATTTTATAAATCATTTATGCTGAGAATATTTGAGTTATTACGCCAGTGTTCAGTGGCTATATGTGATTAGAATCTTTCCATTCTAAGTCTTTGTAATCATGCTCATATTGTTTGCTAAATGCTGACTATTTCTTCACATATAGGAAGAAGTGGAGAATCTGAAAATTAAGTGGCTAACCTGAATTCACACAGCTACTCAGCAAAAGTAATAGGACTAATAAACATACTGTCTCTTGGCTTTCTTTTTTTCAATCCAGCACTCAGTTATTATTCTGTAAGCTTTCCTTTTTATTGTTCTCAACTGATGCTCATTAGGCATCAAATTTAGAGATACTGTTTCTAAAGTCACAGAACCATTCAAGCTGTGGAATGATGACTTTATCATGCAAGTCATGATTCCTCTTACAGTCTTCTATCTAGAAGACAGTGATCATTAGCACCTGACCATGCCTGTTCAAAAAGTTGCAGCACAAATTTCTAAATGGTCAAGAATGTATGCATAGCCCCACATCAGATTTCTAAGTAAATTTCCTAATCTATCATCTGTGACAAACTTTGGGTTTTATGACAGTCATCACAAGTTGACATTTCACTTGTAGTCATAATTCTGTTTCACTGAAACACTGATGAAAATGAGAAACTCTTGAAATCATTCTATAAATTATAAATTCTTCAGCTCGAAGTAGGATTAACAATGTATAAAAATCAGAAAATGTGGCACAATATAACCACGTGTTATCTGCTGATAAAAATCTATTTAAAGGCTAATAATGCTCTAAAAGATGAAAGTAAATGAGTTTATTTAAACAAACACAACTTGATATTTTCCCAACGTTTTATGCTGCTATCCATTGCTGGGCAGAACCTCACAGACTCATCAGCCTTCTGATGTATCCCAGGACTTTAGTTTACCAAGGAATTAACAAACACCCATATTATGTGAAGATCTGAGTCCAGTGGGCTGCTAATTCTATGCATTTAATAAAACAGTTTCTGGTGTTTCTGATGAGTAGATAGGTTCAACAGAAACAATGCTCTAAGGGATTTGCAGGTCAATCAATATGCCACAGTACTACTGCATATAATCAAAACCCAAAGTTACAGCAGTGTGGCTTATAAGGTCTAGGTTCTCAGATATGCTGTGCTCTAGACAAATGGTACAAATCACAGCCACCCAGATATGTATGTGTATGGTTTTCAGAAAGGTGTATTGTAATTCATAATTCAGCCACACCTTATCATGAGCTGAAGGTAGTAAATTCAACATTTAGCAATTTAATGTTTTTTTTTTTTTCTAACAAGAAGATCTGGAGAAAATAAGCACCCTGAAATAAGCATTTTCCTCTACATCCTGAGTGTTACTCATCGGATTATAGAAATACTAAAATATATTTGTATTTAGTGTTCAGAAACAATCAGATTAGATAAGTCTTAATGCAGCATTGACTGTGGCCTTTTAGTACATAATCCATTTTAAATTAATTTTTCATATCGTATGCAATGAGAATCTAAGTTAATGTTTTACTAATAAAATATGAAATTAAAAAAATGCTTCTGGTTTTGATTTTTATAAAAATGATAAAATTTAAACTGAAAGATGGAAATTTCAATACGTATTTCTGGCTGGAAGAAAGTAAATAACCAAAGGTAAATCAAGATCCCCATACTACCTCATATAAGCACCAACACAAATGATGATGAACTTAATTATAAAATATGAAACTAACAAAATCTTTAAAAAACACACACATGAGAGCATCTTGATACCACTAATGAGGCAAGAAGCTCTTCCTCTCATTCTCTCTCTCTCTCCCTCTCTTACTCTTCCTCTCTCACAAGCTCAAAAGAAAAACCTAAAAAGGACAAGTTAATCTGTATCTTATCAAAATGATACACTTTTCTCTGTAAGAAAACCTGCTATAAGCAATATTGAGGAAAAATCCAGATCATATATCTGACAAAGTAATTATACATGAAAATATAATGTACATGCAAAACTCTATAATCAAAGCATAAACAATCAAGTTAGTGAGTAGAATATCTGGCAGGCATTTCAGGGAAGAAGTTGTGCAGAAAGCAAAAAAAGACATAAAAAGCTGTTCAGTGTATTATATCATTAGAAAAAAAATGCAAGTTAGATCCATGATAACATAAAGTACAAATGATGGTGATGATGATGATGATGATGATGATGATAATCATAATATTAAGAAGAAGACTAATTGCTGATGGGGCCAAATCACATGCTGTGGAAAAGAATGTGAAGTGGATCACTCATCCCAGAAATTTATTCAACAAATTTCTTAGAAAAATAAAAATATTGTTATTATAAAGTCCAACAGTCATACTGTAGTGTATTGCCCTTGGTAAAGGGGAACTTGAATTCACATAGAATACCCTTACCATACAGGCATTTGAAACACACTAACAAGATTGAGAAGAGGAAAAGGAAGCAAAAGGCATACTTGCTTTGTAATATGGGTAGTAATCTGCTTTCCTTCAATATTGGTGTATTTTTGTTGTTAAAAGCAAATTATTCAAAGGAAAGCTATTACACAGAATCCTAATTAACTAGATATAGGCATTTTTATTGGCCAAAGTAAATCCACCTTGGACTGCATGTTACCAACTATGTATGTGATCTGATGTTATAAAGCTGACTTTCTTCTTCTTCTTCTTCTTCTTCTTCTTCTTCTTCTTCTTCTTCTTCTTCTTCTTCTTCTTCTTCTTCTTCTTCCTCTTCTTCTTCCTCTTCCTCCTTCTTCCTCATCCTCGTCCTCGTCCTTGTCCGTGTCAGCGTCAGCTTCTGTTTTCTTCTTTCTCTTCTTTTATTTTTTCAGTAAGACTAAGCACTTCCTTTGTATTTAGGCTGGGCAATGAAATCCAATATGAGGAATAGGACCCAAGAGCCAGCCAAAGCATTAGGGACAGCCCTTGCTCCCATTATTATGAGTCCCACAAATACAAGCTACACAACTGCTTGTGTAGTACATATATGTACAACATATATGTAGAGGATTTAGGTTAGTTGCATTCAGGCTCCCTAGTTCTTAGTTCAGATTCAGCGAATTCCTATGAGTTGTTAGTTGTTTCTGTGGGATGTCTTGTGGTGATCTTGACCCTTCTCACTCCTACAATACTTCCTCCCTCTCTTAAACAGGATTTCCTGAGCTTGGCATAATGTTTGGCTGTGGGTCTCTGTGTCTGTTTCCAACACTTAGTGAATGAAGGCTATCTGATGACCAATCTGATCACAGGAGATGGCAAGTTCAGGGTATGCATCCACTATTGCTAGGAGTCTTAGCTGGGGTCACCCTTGTAGATTCATGGGAGTTCCCTTGCATCATGTTTCTACCTGCCCCCCAAGAGCTCCCCCATCCAGTCATCTCTTTCAGTACTCTAACCCTCCACCCACTCCTCAACCCGATCCCTCAAGTTACCATCCCCACCTATCCCTAGTCCACCCAGCAGATCTCTTCTATTTCCCCTTCCCTGAGAGAATCATGTATTTCCCTACCTACTCCGTGGGCCCTCATTGGTACCTAGCTTCTCTGAGTCTGTAGAGTGTAGCCTGGTTATGCTTTACAGTTACTATTTAATTATGACTGAGTATATACTATTGTTTATGTACTCACTGGGTTAACTCACTCAGGATGATTTTTTTCTGCACAAGTACACTTGCTCAACTATGTTCATAGCAGCTTAATTTGTAATAGTCATAACCTGGAAACAACCTAGATGCCCCCTAGGTGAAGAATTGATAAAGAAAATCTGGTACATTTACACGACGGAGTATTATTCAGCTGTTATAAAATATGACATCAGGAAAATTGAAGACAAATGGATGGAGCTAGAAGAGCTGAACTTCTTGGCATCTGGTAGGACACAATCCAGTGCTAGAAACTGTTGACAATTTTGAAAGTCTTCAGAGATGAGAGCTTGGGAGGGAGATTGATTTCACTAATGAGCAACTGGTATGTTCTCTATATATTTAGGTACAGGCCCAGATAATTAAATTGAATCAGGCTGTTTTGGAGAGGAGATTGGAAAAATCAATACAAGTGTGATTGTATCAAAATAGATAAGAAAAAAAATACTGATTTAAAACATTTTTTCTTATGATTCAGCTACCGTATTCATCATTTTCTCACAAAAGAAATTTTTGGAATCTCAAATAATGATATAATGATTCTGATGTTTTAAGCAGTAGCCTCCACCTTGAAAATGATGCAAAGCTTGTTTTACTTTAGTCATAACAGACCATATTGTGCATGTGGAAAAGCAAGTTTGATAATCAGAGTCATCTTTCATCTGTTTGTTATCCTCCATCATTATTCCACCATATTCAATGAGGTGTAATTGGTTGTTTTTCACTCTTTTTGGCTCTTTGTTCTTTGCAGGGCCCACTACCCAGCTCCCAAATAAATCAAACACAGAGGCTTATTATTACTTATAAATGTCCAGCCTTAGATGGGTTTATTTCTAGCCAGTTTTCCTTAAATTAAATTATCCCATCTACCTTTTGCCTCTGGGATTTTCCTGTTTTTCTTTTTAACTTTTGTAAATCTTATTTTCATTCTTACTCCATGGCTGGCTGTGTGGCTGGATGGCTAGTCCTTAGCATCCTTCTCTCCTTGTTCTCTTGCTCCTCCTTCTTTCTTCCTGGATTGCACCTCACATTTATTTCCTCTACTTGCCAGCCCTGCCTAGCCTTTCTTCTGCCTTGCTATTGGCCATTCAGCTCTTTATTAGACCAATCAGGTGTTTTAGACAGGCACAGTAACACACATTCACAGTTAAACAAATGCAACATAAAAGAATGCAACACATCTTTGCATCATTAAACAAAATTTCCACAGCATAAACAAATGTAACAGATCTTAAAATAAGAGCAAGATCTCTCAGTCAAACCTAGAGCTCACCTGTATGGCTTATCTCACTTGCCAGCTTGCTCTGGGAAAGCCATTAATCACATTCTGAAGATGACATTTCAGGCAGGCCACCGTATCTACCTGGTATTTATATGAATTATGAGCACCTGAACTCCAACCCTCATGCTTGTGCTGAGAGCATGTTAACCACTTAGCCTTCTCCCCAGCCTCTCACTGTTCCATTTTGTCTTCTGGTGTATCAGATAGGTTGGGAGACAGACATTCCCCTAGAGCCAAATATTCCAAAATTCTGCTTTGGCTCCTCTCTTACAGAGGCTCTTAAAAATGCAGTTTTGCTCCTTTGCAGTCTGCTGTCCCCGG